GGCCAGTCTAGACTTGCTGCTGCCTCAAAATCTCTGGCTGGGCCCCCAGGTGATCTGCACAACACCCTGACATGGAGAACCCCACTTGAGACTGAGCTCTGTGACACATGCACACTCTGTCCCAGAACAGATTACCACACACAACTGTCACCATTGTCCTTTGGCTACTTGGAGGAATAAAGGAAAACCTAAGACTATGCACGTAACTGTGTGAAAATGTAATCTATTCTTAGAAAATATTCAGTGCTGCTATGCCCTGGGGACTGGTCAGAGAGTGAGTGAGTGCTCCCTTTCCAGTATTTAAGAGCCTTAAAGACTATCCTGTTCTTTAACCTGGTGATTGTACTTTGAAGAATCTATCCTTAAAAAAATGAAACAAAGATATGACTTATGACCACTGTTCAAGGGCCCACATACCTTGACCTGAGAAAGCTCCTTCTGGGGAGCGGTGAGCTTCTTGCTAATCCTGCCCTTGGCCTTCAACTCTTCCACTGTCTTGTATGAGTATTTGGGCTTCTTCTTGCTTCCGCTGGGGTCTTTTCTCCACTGGCTCAGCTCCTTCTGAAACTCCTAAACGAGAGGGATACAGTCTGTCACACAAGAAAGCCCACTTTTTACAATAAGTGGGGCCACTGAGACCATTAACAGACATTGGCTAGCGACTATCTTAGACTTTTACAGGTTATGCTAAGGATTGTGCCTGTGACACCAAAACCATCTAGTGATTGATACTCTTCGACACCCGCTCCCCCTATAGATGATGAGGTTCAGAAGGCAGGCACACGGACTGGAGAAGGAAACAAAAATAAACAGAGGCAACATTTCCTGAGCACCTACGATGTCAGCCAAGTTTACTGACTGACTGACTGCCCACCAGGCTCTAAGCCGCTCATCATGGTACACCCACCCTCCTGCACAGTGCCTGGCACACAACCTGTGCAGTAACCACGTGAAGACTGACAGTGAATGAACAAACGAATAAACAAACATGGCCCACACATCACCCACCAACGCCCCCCACTCCTGATTTCCAGCTACCTCTTCTGCTTCTTCCTCGGAGTCAACCACAGGGAAGTCCTGCAGGGACTGAGTGGTCCGCTCTGAGCCATAAGCTCCCACGGCGCCTTTTCCTTTTCTCTGCTTGGCTTCGATGGGGGTAATGATACCTGACAAATTCCAGCAAAAGAATTAGAGGCTCCAGATCACAGCAGATCTTGTATGTGACTAAACCACTCAGTGCAACTGCACTCCCTTGGCTCTCACACACAGTTACGCACGGCCCAGGAAGGAGGGCTCTCCTCAGCCCCCAACCACTGCTCATGTCCTGTGCGATCTAAACCAGCCTGTGGCCATGAGGTCATTTATGTCCTGTGTGCAGATTTCCATTTCCACATGGATGAGAGCAAGGAGAAAAATTCATTTATAGTTGGGAACTCGGGCACACAATCCTATGCTCATCTAGAGGCCTTTAATATGAGAAGTGCAGTGATTCAGATAATGGGTAGAATGTGAATTACAGAGACTACTGATTAGATCCTGACTGCCCCTGGCAATAGCTCCAGGACAAGAAAACAATCTCCTGCAGAAAGAATGCACCTGAGTGGTCTGAGAGGCTCTGGTATCAAGGAGATAAGAATGTGTGAGAGGAGCTGTGTCCTCATGGGGCAGGGGAGAAGGGACAAAAGGAGACGGTGCTCCTCAGTGAGGATGGAGGTAGCAAATGCAGGATCTGCTCAGCCAAGTTTATGGCTACATGTCTCTTGCTATTCAAAAAGCTATACACAGTCTGACTGATATTCCTGAAGGACAAATGGCTGTTTTTGCAAAACTGGAACTCTTGTGAGCAGGACCACTTAACTCGCATGCTTTCAGGGCCCAGGCAAATGAATGAAAACAAGTCAAATGGGTTGGGGGGAGACAACAGGGAGTGGTGGAGACTGCTTCCAGGAGAAGGCCAGGTACACTGTCCTGGGGCAGCTATGAATCAGATGAAACAATTACTAGCAGGCAAATCTAAACCTTTAGGAGAGAGTGTCTGATTTTTAAATATTGGCCACAAATTCAACTTTTATAGGAACACTAGACAGGCCAAAACGAAGCCCGTCTTTAACCTGTGAGCTTGTAGCCTGTTTTAGGCCCTAACCCTTCTCCTCCTGCTGAAACAAGCATTTTATTTGAGTCTGATAAAGCAAGGTCACTTAGGAGCACAACTTGTCCTGTGCTGGACCAGGCTCAGGAATTTAAATACTTTCAAAAAAGAAAAGCAGGCACTCTCCTTTCCTCACACGAGACTACAAGGGCAATGGTGCCATACCTTGTGCATTCTTCCCGAGGCCCCTTCCAGGGACATAGCCCATCTTCTGAAGAAGCTTCTGTCCGATTCCTTTTGTGTGTCTCTCCCAGCTGCCAAAATCCATGAACGACTTGGTTCCTCCTGCAAAGCCTTTCTGGCTGGGTTTAAAATTGCCACCCTGAAAACAAACATCAAAGCTTAGTTGATGGAAAAAGAAAAAGAAGGAAAATCTAAAAAAGCAAGCTTGGAGGATGGGAAAACGTCCTGGTAGCAAGAGCATTATGCAACATCATACAGACCAAATCTATATCTGTGATGTGTGTTAGGAAAGAAAAGAGACTGTGCTGCACACTTCACACCTGTAAGCAACCGGCCACCACAAGGAAACACCCACACCAGACTCCAGCTGAGCCCCCACTCCCTAGGAGATGCCTAGGCCGCAATGATCTTCCAAGGATATTACTAAGGTCACAGCCCTTCATAAAGACGCTACCGTTTTTAACTTCTTTGGTCCAAAATCCTTAGGAAATTCATCCTGCTTAACAGGTTTCTCTTCATCATCGGAATCTTCCAGCTCCGCCTCTTCTGCCGCCCCTTTCTTGAGCCCGGCACTGATGAAGTTGACTGGCGCAGAGTAGTCCCTGGCCCTGCAGGCAAACACAATCCCCATGGGGTAGTCCTAAGTCAGTTATAAACTTCCCTTATGTGAGCTGTTGATTAATGCCTATCTCCATCCACTAGGATCTTCGTTCTGGGCAAGGACTGGATCTCTAGCCCAAAGCCCTACATAATTGTTCAATAAACACCTATCGATGATTAAATCAGCCCAAAGACAGCACTCTAGCCTAAAGAGGAAACTGGGCCTCCCTAGCTGATATCATAACTCAGGGACTCAGTAAGGCTAGGAGAGTAGATTTAGTGGGTATCTCCCCATATCCCATTCTGTCTACCCCATCCCCTTCCCTAAAGCAAAAGGAAGCAGCCCCAGGCCAGCCAGTACCGTTTGCCTCCAAAGCTGGGCCTCTCTTCATCGGAGTCTCTCTCTGCCCACACTCCGTAGGTGGCCTCTTCCTTGGTCTGCCAATGCCGCTGCCGGTTGGGATTGAACTCATTCTGCAGGTCCCAGTCAGTGATCTCAAAGTTCTCCCTCTCATCATCATCATCATCCATGTGGCCTTCCCCGTCCCGGTACAAGTGGGACAGTGACATCGCCAGTCACTAATGGGACAGAAAAGGCACAGTCTGTGATGAGTTCTGAGAGCATCAAGAGAAGACTTCCTTGGGAGTTCCTACTCCTACCTTCAGAACTTCCTGCAAACTCAATCCGTTAGTCATTGTTACCATCTAAACAAGCAGGCATTAAAAACATATTTTAGAAAACAATTGGCCCTAAAACAGGTAGAACGAAGGCTAGTCCCAAGAGCCTGTGATTCTTAAGCAGGTATTCCCTTGTCCTAGTGTCATAAAACATCTCACACAAACCACACAAAAATTAAATTATTCTATAAATGATGATTGCCTAAGAAATTGTGTAAACGTCATCCCAGACTCCACATTTTGTTATTTTTGTCTACTGTTGAGAAAAGAATTATATCTGGATCCTTGGCAGTCCCAGGAAGTGGTTTCTTTAGAATATACTTTCTGAAACACATTTCTTGTTGAGACCCCAAAACTCAATTTTACCCCCCAAACACGAACCAACCTCTTCTAATGAGCTGGAAGGTAGTCGTGATTAAGAACACGACCTTAACAGTCTTGGTAGCTGGGTGATGAGATTCAGCTGTCTCTTAAATGCATTAACTACCACACCAGCCTTAGACAAGGCCTGTAAGGCAGAGTCAATGAGATGGTACTTTAAGAGCACTTAACTCAGAACAAGTGCTCAAGGAGCAACAGCTGTTCTGTAGTCCCTGGATTACGGAGTCCCAGAAACATGGGAGTCAATACAACTGCTGCCTGCTTCCTTGGGCCCAGGGCAAGGTAATAATCACAGAGTGTCACAGGTTTAAAAAGCCCCCGGCTGGTGCCAAGTACTTGCTGGGCGCTTCAGGGCGTCATTCTAATGAAAACAAGACGCTTCTACGAGATTGGTACTTTTGGCGTTTCCATGCTCTAGGTAAGAAACGTGCGACTCAGAGAAGCTGGACAGCTTGCCCTAAGTAAAGCCTGAAGCCAGGTGGGCTTCACACTAAGGCTCGGGCGTCTCTCTACCCTGCAGTCCAGGCTTCGCGGTGCAGGTTCGGTTCCCAAGTCGACCCAGGCCCAGACTCCCCGGTAACCCCGGGCGGGCCCGCCCCTCTCCCGGCCTCGGCAGAGCGGTCTGCGAAATGGGAGCCCACGCTAGCGAGGCCGACACCTGCCTCCCGGGCACTCGCACCCACTCCCCCTGGGGCGGGGCTCCCCGTCCCTTCCACTCCGCGGCCGGGCTCACCTCGTCCAACGTCCCAAACACAGCGCCCCACTCCGTGCGAGAAGCGCGCCGTTCCGGAAGTCGGAGCCCGGAACCCGGATGTGCTGGGACCCGCGCGCCGGAAATGACGTTGCCCGATAGCGGAAACGGTGCGCTGGTTGCCATGGCAGCAACGAAAGGCTTGAGAGGCTACAGTTTAGAGCGGCGGGGCTGAGATGCTGGGAGGGAGGCGCAGATTTTCAGGGCCCCGCATGGCTGGAGCCGGGAGGGGTGTCCCGGCCACGTCGGCCTCCCTGCCGCGCCCGCTTCGGGGCGACGCCCAGCCTGTAATGAATGGCGTGGACGTCACCGAGCCTCCTTGGCGGGCTCCTTTGCCAGCCTGAGATTCTAAATCTGTAAAATGGGGCTATAGGACTAGTTCATGGGATAGCTGCGATTGTGCGAGACACCAGGGGGCCGGCACACGGCCTTCATATGGGAATAATGAAGGTCAAGGCCGGATCCTGTATCTTTTGGGCCTCTTAGTATAAGCATCGGGTGGGCACAGAGCCTCCTTCCTTATACAGGAGTTTGAGGGAATGAAGGAAGGAATGAGCAAACTCTAGAGGTCCCAAGTATTCCCTGCAGGAAATCTTCCCATTCTCCTTTCCAACAGGTTGGTAAATAAATTTCATTCATTCACTGATCTCTAAAAATGCATCGAATGCCTGCACTGTGCTAGGTTCAGAGGATAGAATAACAAAGTCAGCAGCCCTCCCAGGGAATCCCTGACCAGCTGTGGGCTCTGTGTAGGTAACACGGGTCCTGGAGTTCCAGCCGCAGCTCCGCAGCTTACCAGCTGTGGACCTGGGGCATGTCAGTACATCCCTCTAAGCCTCAGTTTTCTCTTCAGCAAAACGGTTGAAAATTCAATGAGATAAAAATATGCAAGTGATTAAAACTGTACCCAGTACACAGTAAGTGCTTAGGAAGTGTTAGGTGTGAATGTTTGCATGTGTTCTCTGTTTCTCTCCTCCCAAAGATGGAAAGATCCGAGGGGCAAATATTGGCGTGAATGAAGGGCACTGGACTTAGAGTCAAAAGACCTGGGTCCGACATCCTCTGGTTGGTATTAATTCAATGAGAACCTGCAGGAAGTCAAATGCTGGCTTCTTGGGAATGGGGGCTGTGGTTTAGTCGTCTCTGTATCACCAAGTGGCATGTAGTGTCACTGTGCCTGACACAAAGTATGTACTCAGGAAAGAAACTAGAAAGTTTCTTTAGTAGAGGTTTTAGTAGAGGGAGAGTGGGGGTGGGAGGTGGAGGAAAGAGTCTAACAGGCCAGACTGAAAGGTCCGCTAAGGAGCAGAGTGAGGGAAACAAGGAGATGAGATAAGCATTTCGAGTCTGAGCCTGAAAATGTATATGCATCTGTTTATAGCCTAAAGCCAAAAATATAAGCTCAGCTTGGCTTCTCTGAAGCCATGTCCGTAGCTTTACACTAGACTTTATGGAGATTCGGTTACTTTGATCATGAGGAACCAATGGATCTGCTGTGCCAAATGGACCGCACGATGTGGCTTCTAAAGAAATCTTTGTGGACTATGGTGGAGTCATTAAGAATGCAGGCTCTAATCGGGTGACCCAAGTGTGCATCCTCAGGAATGGGAAAAATCACAATCACGTACCACTTGGTAGGATGCCCTGAGAAGATCGCAGCATCACTCCTGTGACAGTCCTGCCAAAAATACATACCCTGAACCAAATCACGAGGATACATCAGACAAACCCAAATAAAGGACATTCTACAAAACAACTATCCTGTAATCTTCAAAAGTGCCAAGGTCGTGAAAGCCAAAGACCCTGGAACTGTTCCGTACTGGAGGAGACTAAAGAGACATGGCAGTTAAATGCAATGCATGATTCCAAACTGGATCTTTTTGCTATAAAGGAATTTATTGGGACAACTGGCAAAATTTAAATAGAGTCTGAGGTTTCCATAATAGTGATATATCCATGTTAATTTCCTGATTTTTATAGTTGTTTTGCAGTTACATTGGAGAATGTCTTTGTTGGAAATACTAAAGTACTTGGAGGGTAACAGGGCATCAAGCAGGCAACTTAATTTTAAATAAGAAAGAACTTTTTTCTATGTATTTAGAATTTTTTAAAAATGGAGGTTCTGGAGTAAAACCTCAAGGATCCCAATCTCCACTTTTCTGCTTCTTAGGTTTGGGACGTGGGCCAGATTGTTTCGCCTCTCTGTGCCTGTTTTCTCACCTCTACAGAATGGGGATAATCACAGTACTGCTCTAAAATGGTGGTTTTCAGAACCAAAAAAGGGAGGGATAATTGATGCACATAAAGCTCCTGGAAAAATAAGTGCTTCATACATGATTATAGTTATTTTCATTTAAAAGACCCAATCTCATACCTTTGCATGGGTCTCTCAGCCTTAAAGGTCAGTAGTGTTTCAGGATCTCTAGCTTCAAATGCCCAGACTCAGGGAAAGCAAGAAGAGAGGCAGCCAGAGGTTTCAATTCAGGATCTCGTATCCAACCTGGCCTCTAGTCTCTGCCCAGAGAAACCCTTGCCTGGAACTCAAGGACGTCCAGGCCTGTGTTTAGATTCCCAATGAGGTACTCAGACATGTAGCCTTCCCAGAAGGGGTTGCCAAGCAACAAGACTCCTCTGTAGGAGCCTGCCAGGGCCGTGGGACACTCATGGGTCCATCCCTCCCTTTCCACAGATGAGGCGATGGAGGAGGCCATGCCACAGGAACGTGCCCAGGGCTACACAGCTAGAATAAGGACAGAGCCAGTTCTAGAACCAGGGGTTCATACTTCCAGGCCAGGGCTTTCTCTGCTATTCTATGCACGGGGCCCCCACACCATTTCTGCCTATTGAGCTAATACTTCTAGAGTGATTCCTGCCTGTTCAGGGTCACAAACAAACCCTCTGCATACGTCATCTCTTCAGTTCCTCAACAGGAGGTGGTTTCTATTACCAGCCGAGTCCACACACCTAACCACCCCTTTAGGCCTGCGCCATGCTGCACTGTTGCCGTTCTGCCTTCAAAAGATTTGGGGAGAAAATCCCTGCTCGGTTACAACCTGAAATAAGTTGATACCATAGAAACAATCCGCAAGTGGCATTTCAAAGTGGATATATTTAAAGTCTAGCACAAGTACCTTTTCTAGGACAGTGACATTATACAGTTGCACATGGCTTGTTCTTATTTTCAATCTTGTCACAAAAATATATGTGTCCGGAATGGAAAATCCCAATCAGCTGGATTAGCAAATTTGCTTTCCCTTTAAATGTTCCTTACAGATGGTTTCTACCCTTTCAAGAACTTGGGAACACTCTATTCTTATATAGAAAGCTGGGACGTGATGTTCTGCAGGCCTGAGGCATTATCCGTAAAGCAGGCGTCCTCAAAAGCACACAGGTGAGATGAGGAACCCCAGCCTTCATTCATTCATTCATTCACTGAGTCACTCACTAACAAACAGTCAGCTCCTATGTATCTTCTATTGCAGTGTTAGCAATTACCTCCAATCTGAGCAGCTGGAAAACAACAGTAAACATCTCTATTTCTTTGGGTAGGAGTTCAAGAGCAACTCGGCTGGCTTGTTCTGACTTGGGGTTGCAGTCAAGGTGTCAGCTGGGACTGCAGCCCGTGGTAAACTTGACTGGAACTGGAAGATCTGCTTCTAAGGTGATTCACTCACATGGCTGGCCGGCTGGTGCTGGTGGGCAGGAGGCCTGAGTTCCTTGCCACGTGAACCTCTACATTGGGTGCTGAGTGTCCTCATGACATAGTGACCTACCTCCCCGAGAGTGAGTTGAGTCAAGAGATAACAAGGCCAAAGCCTCAAGGATTTTTATGATCTAGCCTTGGAAGTTGTATAAGATGTCAGCACTGGGGAAATTGTGAGAAATGTTTGTACTACTTCTGCAACTTCATATCAATCTATAAGTAGCTCAAAATAAAAAGTTAACCAACGACCCATTAAAAAACCCCAGCTGTTACCCTAGAAACCAGGTTAGGTGAGAATAATCCGGACTCGTGGAAGGGCTTAAATTGGAGTTGGGAGCTTGGTCAAGAGCATGCCCGGTGGGCGGAGCAAGGGCTTTCACATGAAGGAATGGAATTCTCATTGTTAATTATCCTGCGAAGTGTTTGCTTAGAAACGAGGAGGTCAGAGGGTAGATGTCCTCCTGGCTCAAGGCCACATCTGGGCTTGGGGAGACCTGGAGGAGCTCCATCAGTGGGAAGAACCATCCATGGTCCCAAGGCAGAGGCTGGGGTTTTGGATAACCTAGCTTTTGGGGGGCCTGGAGTTACTACAATTTCAATAGTAAAGGGAAAATATGTCTTTATTTTGCACCCTAATTGAAGAAAGGGAACATCCGATGAATTCATAGGTTTATTTGATGGCCTGCAGGTAAGGCTGATCAATTGTTTTTTATGATGACTGTGGCCGATTCTGTTTTCCAGAGATGGCTGCAACATCTGTCACCCCTCATGCTCTTCTGCATCATGGTCTTGCCTCATGATCTTCTGCATCATGACAACATCAAGAGTCCATTTCTCTACGCTGTTGAATGTGGAAGAGCCCTGTGACTGCTTTGACAAATTAAGTGTGATACTGGGACACTGAGACAGTTCCAGGCATATCCCTTAACTGACTGACTGGCAGCTGTGCTGCTCCCAGTCTCGTGCCATACTTGCTCTGGGGAGAAGCTGGCTGCCGTATCAGAGGTCTGCTGGTCCTGAGACCGCCATGCCATGATGAAGCCCAAGCTAGTTGTGTGGAGAGGCTACATGATATAAAGATGCCCCGTAAAAGCCTCTAATGCTCCAACCAGCCCGGCCCAGGCACCAGACATGTGAATGAAGAAGCCTCCAGGTGAGAGAAGTCCCAGCCACCATCTGGCGGTAAGAGCCACCCCGCTCATTCTAGTAAACTCCCAGAGCTGAGGGACTTCACAATCGTGTTAGGTCACTAAGTGTTGGGCTGGCTGGTTTCACAGCAAAAATAAGTGGAACAATGAACAAGGCTGGATGTCCTCTGCTTCCCAGGGAGTGTTGACCGTGAGCGTCCTGTGCTCGTAACTCCACCAGCTGCCCACCTCACCGCAGTCTCAAGATCAAGGAGGGACAGGCACTGTTTCACACTGCGGGCCCATCACACCCTGGCACCGCTGCTCTCGTCACCATCAGCCCCTCCTAGTAAACCCGGACAGTTTAACTTCCCCATTTTACAGGTGAAGAAACAGTCTTGAGCCACGCAGCTGGTAAACTGGCCTGACTCCAAAACCCCATGTCCCAAAGCCTGAGTCACTTCCTTCCCAAGGCTTCACTGTTAACTAATCTTTAAAGACGCAAAACTGTTCCAAGCCCAGTCGATCTCTCAGCATTTGGGGGCTGAGCAGTAAAGGGTTAACTCAGCAGATTTGGAGAGTTCACACCCTGCATATGCCAAAGAAAGGCCTGACCCTTGACCAGCTCTGGGAGATCACCTCTAAGCTCTTGGGATATTCTGTCTAATGAGAGTGTCTTTGAATACTTGGGACCCTAGGCCACTCCAGGAGCTAACAAGGTGACTTATGATGGGGACCCTGGGTCAGGCTACTATGTCATTTGACTTCTAGAGGGAGTGGAAACAAAGTAACTATGCCCACGTGACTGCTGCCTAATAAAAAATGCTGGACACCGAGGTTCAGGTGAGCTTTCCTGGGTGGCAACACTGAATATGTGCTGTCCCACAGCATTGCTGCGACAAGGATGCACGTCCATAAGACTCCACCAGGAAAGGACAACCAGAAGCTCAGGCCTGGTCTCTCCTGGACTTTGCCTGATGTACCTTTGCTGATTTTAACCCATATCCTTTCGCTGTAATAAACCATAAACATGAGTCTAATGGGTTTTCTGAGTTCTGTAAGCCCTGCTAGCAAATCACCAAACCGGAAGGTGCCCTGGGGGGGGGGCACAGACACAGGTGGGGCTGTGCCTGGCATGGACCCATTCTCCAGCCTTGCTGGCCATCAGTCCACCCAACAAAACGCAAAATGCAAAACCACAGACAAGTGAGTCCCTGTTCACTTTATTCAAATAATATATATTTTTTTCTTTGTCAAATTGAGAGCCGAGGAGGAATCAAAGAAAACCTCATATATTAAATTTTTAAATAGATTCTCTGAATTCAAAAATAAGGGTCAATAGGAGAGGCACAGGTCGTGGGCCTTGGCCCAGCAAACAAAGCCACCAAGGCAGTCCTGCAAAGGAAGGAGGCGGCAAATCCACTTCTTAAAAAAAAGGTCTCAAGGGGTAAAATATAAAAAACCTACGTTTCAGAAGCCGGACTAAGTCCATACTCTACTCTCTACCCCAGAGTGTCCAGAGAGAGAGGGCTTCAAGGAAAGTTCTCAATGATTCGGGCTTTGCAAACATATGCAAATACATTCCTCATCAGCAGTCCCGTTTTGGCGATTAATAGCAAGCAATATGCTTGGATTAGAGGTCCGATTTCCACTTGAATGCAGTTTCTTCCCTTCCTGGCAACAGAGCCACTTGCAGAGATCTGAAAGGCAGGGAGAAAGCCACGTTAGGCCCCGAGTGACGATGCCGGAACAGAGCTTTTATATTATACGTGCGACTGCAGAACGCACGGGCTGGCTACGTGCACTGGCATAAGATGGGAGGTTATCTCCCTGCAGCCCAGACGGCCAGACACAACTGCAATTACATTTCTTGGGTTCCTCCTCACATCTCAATCTGCACCCTACCTGACCTCACAGATACACGTCTCTTATTTATGAAGAGCAGATGGCCATGACTGTCCGGAGGCAAGGGAAGGATTAGCATTGACTCAAGGCCAACCCCATACCAGGAATAAGCGAACGCACCGTGTATACAGTATTTTGTTTAAACAGTAAAGCGAGGGATCTCTCCAGCTTCTGTCAGAACGTGCAGGATTCTACTAATAAATGTGCAGAAAAGAGCAGGGGAAATAGAGTAAGAGAGAAGCTTGGAGAAACCCGTTTCCCACGTGAAGGCTCTTAAATAGAACTCCAGGGTCTCAGCATGAGTTAAGGTGGGGACCCTGACAATGACAGGGGCTGAGTGTCTCTGGCCTGAGGCTGGTGCAAAATGGAATTTTTTTTAAATGAAAAAATATCCTGATTATTTAAAAATAGGACAAGGAGACTAAAAATAGAGTCTGGGCTAGAAGCTCTGTTTCCGTTTAAAAGACTAGGGGAGATACCCAAGCAAGTTCGTCCTCAAGTCCCTCAGGTTTCCTTGAGCCTTGTCAGGGGCTGGGGGACATGGGGAGTGAGCTCACTCACTGGATTCTCACCTTTACTGCCCACGTCCATGGTGAGGGTCCAGCACCACCCAGCCCCCCGTCGGCTCCCTTCCTCTCACGACCACCCTCGGAGGCGGACACTGATGAACGTCCATTCTCCAGATGTGGAAAATGGAGGCTGGGATGAGTCAAACCTGAAGCAAGTTCTTAAATCTTTGACTTAAGTTCAAACCCAAGATCGGAACCTGTTCCACTATTGTTCCAAAATATGGATGGATAAATATACGCTTAAAATCGTTCATTAAAATCAACTCTCGGGGAGATGACTTTGGGGGTAATTTTGCCATGTGGTGATTGTTTGCCTTGGGCAAGTCAAAGCCCTTCTCTGGGCCTTGGTTTTCTCTTCCATAAAATGGGACCATCGTGTCACCTGCCTCCCAGGGATGCTGAGGGTTAAACGAGTAACACAGGGGGAGCACTTGGCCCAGTACTATAGAGGTTATTCTTAGACCAGACTGCTGGTGGGTATTATTAGAACATTAATTGCTTTGGGCCAAACCTGATGCTGTTTATAGAAGCTGGACTAGCAGACGGCATTCTAAGCAACAACGGTTCTAGGATCCCCCATCACACTGGTCCTCGGGGCCCCTCCCTAACACCAGACAGACCTTTCTCTTGCTGGCTCAGCGCTGGTCCCTGCCCCCACCCCTGTCCAGGGCTAGAGGCTAAGCCTTGATTCTATAAATAGCTCCCCAGCCTGTCACCATGGAAACCTCCCAGAGGGCTGGGTCAGCCCACCTTGGGGGGCACTCCACCCCAGGGAGGCTCTGAAAGCACAAGCTTTTCACAAAAGTGACTCCTGGGCCCAGAATGGGCGGGAGTCCCCAGTGAAGTCCGCAGGCCTACCTGGAAATCATGAGCTTCCCAAGTGGGAGGAGGTACTGTTCTGGTTCACCTGCAGGAAGACAACACAGAGGAAGGGGTCAGGGCCAGGTGCCGGGCAAGGGGCTCACGGCCCTGAGGTTCAGCCCTCAGCATCACAGCCACACACACTCGCCCAGCCAATATTTACTGCACACCTACTATGTGTCAGGTGCTAGGGACACGTGGACCTGACAGGACCAGTCCCATGCTCAGGTAGCTTATATTCTAAGGCGGGGAGGGACAGTGAAACACACAGGCAAGGTAATGCCAACAGCAGGCAACACACTGCGCCCACAGGAGTGACTGATGTTGGGGTGATTCACACGGTGATTAAAGGCCACTGCGGCGTGATGTTTAAGCTGCACTGTGATGAAAAACCACCGTCTGATCTTTGTCCTGGGATCCTAGCACACAGCTCCTAAAATCCTTAGGATCAACAAGCATCTTCTGCATGCTAATGAGATGACCAGTGGCTGGGGGACCCAAAAGAGCTTCAGGATGGGGGGCTGGTCCCCAGAAAGACCAAGGCACGATTAAGGGGTGGAACTTTCAGCCCCACCCCACCCCCAACCTTTTGGGGAGAGAGGGGCTAGAGACTGAGTTAATAACCAATGGCCAATGATTGAATCAATCATGCCTACTTCATAAAACCTCCACAGAAATCCCTAGCTTCTGGGTTGGTGAGCACCCCAAGGTGCCGGGAGGGTCGTGCTCCCAGAGAGGGCGTGGAAGCTCCGCCCCTTCCCTAATACCTTGCCCTGTGCATCTCTTCCATCTGGTTGTTTCTAAATTGTGTCCTTTATAAGAAACTGATAATGTCGGAAGTAAAGTATTTTCCTGACTCCTGTGAGTTGTTCTAGAGAATTATCCATCCTGAGGGGTGGGGGTCGTGGGAAACCCCCAAATGTGTAGTTGTCTGGGCAGAAATAGGGCATCCTGGGCACCCCACTGCAGCTGGCATCTGAAGTGGGAAAGTCTCATGGGATTGGGTCCTCGACCTGCGGGGCCCAATGCCATCTCTGGGAGTCAGTGTCAGAATCGAACTGAGTTATTCAATACCCAGCTGGTGTCCAGGGAATCAGAGAATTGGCTGTTAGTGTTTAAAAACACCCTAAGCAAAGATGAAAGTGAGCCCAGCCACGCAAAGATCGGGGTGAAAAAGCATTCCCAGCAGAGGAAACAGCAAAAACCTGGAAGAGGAGGGTGTTTGGAGCCCAGGGAGTGAGGATACATCCTTGTATTAGCTGCAATTCTAATGTGTGAGCTCCTTTGTTCTGCTGGCTTAATATTTTTCTGTTCTTTTGGCTTCAGGATGACCACTTTGGATGGCTACATATGATTCTGTCGAACGATTATGCCACCATTCACTTAACTGTTGCTCTATGGCCATTTCCAATTTTTGCAATATCCTGAATGAAGTCATGTGCACGGGGGGGGCAGTGAGGAAAGGGGGCAGAAAGCAACGTGCAGGGCAGCTCTCCTGAGGGTGGGAGTGCCCACGATGACAGAGCACACGCCACTCCTTCAGATTTTGTTCCTTGCAGAGCAAAACACAGCCCAGGCCAGCTGAGCGTCTTGAGCATGCCCTACACTGCAGGGGACTGCGAACCGGTCCAACTCTTTTTGAAACAAGTTTAGCCTTGTAGTTTGAGAGTCCTAAAGAGATCTGGACCCTTCCACCCACTGACTGTACTCCTTAAAAATGTATTCTAAGGGGATGATTCAATAGAGCCCCCCCCACACACCCTTTGCTCCTCAGAGAGGCAAAATCAGGGTGCTACACACATGACATCAGTCCAGATAGTTCCAAAAAGTGTACGGGATCTTAGGGCAACAGTGAAGTCATTGGTGGCCCACAAAAATAATGCATTCCGAAGAGTACTGTGTAGCAAATGTGAAACCCACTAGACAGAAAACATTAAGAAAGTAAAACAAAGCAGCTCACAGCAAAAATGCACATTCGGGCAGCTAAGAAAGGCAGTATGCAAAAATGAACAGAATTTCTGATTGTGGCTAATTCTCCTCACCCAGCTTCTGTTTGTTGTTCTTATTACACAGTCTTCTTGGTTAAAACAGATAAGAAACAAGGGCAGACTAATTCTGGCAACATTTTGTTTTCACAGTGGCAAGGGATGGGTCTCTGACTCCCACTAAGGGAGTGTGGACACCTCCCCGAAGAAGGGAGATGTGCACAGCAGCTGGGTCCCCCAGGCAATCAGACTCCTTGAATTTGATAATTAAATTAGGGCCTGGCCCAGGGTGGTCCACCCTTTATTTGCCAAATTACACACAAATTGAAAGTACTACTTTTAGCACCAACACTTCACTTACAAGGGAATGCTTTAGCACCAAAAGGAGGGCCGCTATAGTGTCGGTCAGGGGGAGTGCTTGACATGATCCATGGACTGCCTCCCAGGGACCAGGGACACCGATGCATGAGCCGCACAGCCACGGGGACGTGCGTGCGGATGCAGGAGCAGGTGCGTGTCTACTCTGCATATACGCCCACATCACATGACCCTTGTCTCTCATTTTTTAGTAGACTGATGAAAATTTAGAGCTGGGTCATGTTTGGGAACTGCCTGCTGCTTTAAATAAAACTGAATCTAAGGTTAAAGACAGAAAGTTGTCACCAAGTCCCTCCAACTGCTTTCAAGCCAGGAGACCAGTGAAGGGAGGGGCTC